CCGCCGCAAGCTGAACCATCTTGCTCAAAGTCGACAAAAACCACGACACCCTTGTTGCCCGCCGAGTTCAGCAGACCAGACAAAAAGTCCAAACTCAAGGGATACCAGCATCCAGAGGGTGCCGGCAAACATGCCATCGATGCCACCGCATTCGAAGAGGGTATCGCCCTTTGACACGTCTCACAAGTGCGCAGATGTGAAATACTGCGTAAATATGTTAATGGCCCTGCATAAGGAGCAGTGTAACATCACTGACGCCTTTTTCCTTGCAAAGCACGACGCAGGAATAGCATGTGAGAGCAAGTCTCCCCATTTGACACCCAGTTTTGTGGCCGGAAGCCGAACGGCAAGAAGCGTATCGTTCGCGCTTACAATAAGCTCAACGCTGCCAAATTCCGGCACCGACGCCGACTCCTAGGATTGATGATCCTCGGAATAACATGATTGGATGAACAAAGTACAGTGCACTCGACTTGGTCGATGGGTAGTATCGATTGCTCATGAAAGAGAGTGATATTCTGCTGACAGCTATGAGTGTCTTGAGCGGCATGCTCTTGGAGTGGCTGGTGATACCCCAAGGGCTGTCAAATGCACCAGCAACATTAAATTGTCTTCTGATGCAGTTGTTCAGGCCCCACCGGGTGTATGCACAGCCATATTTCGACGACATCTTCGTCCACAGTCCTGCAGAGTACGAGAGGGCAGAAATTCATCGTTTATTTAGAAGCCGTGCATGAGTGCATCTTCGGCGCCAAAAAAATCTCTTTTATAGGGTGCTTGATCGGGAAGCGTGGCCTTTGAGCGGATCCGGCTAAGATCAAGGCCATTGTGGACTGGTCGGTTCAAAAGGACTTGTGCAAGTGGCTTGGCCTTGCCAACTACTTGCGCAAGCACAGTGAGAGCTACGCAGAAAGGCCACGGCCATTGTCGAATCTCCTTAAGAAGGATGCGGAATGGGTGAGGCGACTGAGTTGCAGTGCGTAGTGGTGCATGACCTGTGTCGATCACGAACGGCTCGGAGCCGAGCAGATGAACCCCCAAACTTGACAAGTGCATACTTCATTGCAAGAACTGGCTTGCCGAGAGCTGGATAGTTCTTCTCGGCAGCCTTGAGCTGGCGAGATTCGAACGCGATCACCCGAAATCGCCCCTCGGCGTCTGATTGCAGCAGTGCGCAGCCGATGGCAAAGTCTGAAGTGTCACAGACCATACCGAAAGGACGATCGGGGTCTGACAACGCCAGTATTGGTGCATGAAGGAGGCTGTCGTTGGCCCCGTCAAAAGCCTTCCGCTGGTTGATATCCCAACACGCTTGCAGAGAATGGCTAGTTGGCTCTCCTTCTTTGCAGAATATGACGTGAAGTAAAGGCCAGGAAAGCAGAATGGTTTTGGCTGATGCGTCGCCAGACTGACCTGATTATGACCTTGCTCATACCATTACAGCGACGTCATCCGTGACGAATTTGAATCGCGCCGCGTGCGCGGGTGATAATATTTGCGTTGTGCTGCTACAGAGTTTGAAACTCGGACAAAATGTTGTCGGCGCAACTGCGTTCACGGTCGCCCAGTTTTTCATTTAATAATGAATTGCTGTATTATAGCGCTTTCTCGACGAATACGTCACGAATTTAAAGTACTATATCTTCAATGAGACCCACGACACCCCACTCAGTGGTCATCTTGGTAGTGAAAAATCTCGATCTAAGGACGCACACCTCGGTCCGGAGGTAGGACCGATGGCGGGTCTTGGGAGACGACGTCTGTGAATCCCTTTATCAAAAGATAGTACGGATCCGAAGGATCCTTCACGATCGACAAAAAGCATCGTGCGTTCAGCACCCTCTTGGTGTCCTCCAGGATAGCTTTATCCAGAAGCGACGGCGACTTAATCTCCTCTTCCGGTCGTATGATGACCACTTCGGCTACGCCTGCCTTCAAGGCACCGCTGTACCCTACGAAGGACAACGAATCCAGCTCAAGAAGAGCATCCACCGCAGGAATAGTCTCAAGGGTGACGTCGACGTCTCCTTTCCCCGTCATACCATTGACGAGGGTGGATAGCTGTGCGTTATCGTCTACGGTAGACACATCCTGGGCCAGAGTCGCCCGGCGTCTCGCAGCTAGCATAGGGCGTTGCCGTTACCTCACCTCAGAGATTGTACGTCTTGGAGAGACCAGTGGGAACACGCACTCAACGTCGTCCAGTGTTAGCCCCACTTCTCGCTCCACCGGAACCCTGGTGTTATAAACAACATTCTTCGAAGAGCTGCTAGCTCAGCAGTCTCCGTCCAGTAGATAGCGTGCCACCCCATGCACATCTGATGGGCTTTGCCCAAGATACCTTGAACCTCATCCGACCATGCCACTCATGGCATGCAGCAGCTGCTTTGAAACGTGAGCAGTGATCAGTGGATTACATGCCGCTCCGCATGCATCACTAGGGTCTAGCCCTCGATGCCTCAGCCCTTGCCCGACCATACCACGCATGGTCTGTAGCAACGGCACCGATACTCGAGTAGCGCTCAGTGATTAACGTGGAATTCGACGTGCAGCCCGTAAGCCTCGCTCGGGATTCCTGTCCAATACACCTTTGGTGTTCACCAACTCGGATACTCCGATCTCCAGCACGTTGATCGTCTCGATTTAGTGCCCGCGCCAATAGTGTTTTCCCTCCTAGCAAGAGTCGGTTCAAGACTCACACAGCCCTTCAAGAGACGTGCGCGTAGCGCTCAAGGTATTCGACCTTCAGTCGATCCATGGCTCAAGGTGTTCAAACCATGCCATATTAAAAATGAGGTCAACCTTGAATTTAAGTATAAGACTGAGCAGCGTTCCACGTTATCAAAGTCAAGAAACTTGATGCTGAGGTCCACAGGGACCTTCGGCACCGTGACACAAGTCCCCGTCGCTAAACGAACAGTGACGATCAACCGCGCTTCCAGCGCCTCGGCGTACAGCTGACTTTCTTCCGTTGTGGAGCGTTGAGCATAATTGCCCGACGCCCAGAAGTTGATCAGGATCTTCCATGGATTCTAAAAGCTCTTCACGGTCGCTTCCACGACCAGCAAGCCCGACTGGCATACACGTTCAGCGGGCAGACACACAGATCTCCTCGGGGCTGAGCCCTGCTGAGCTCTACCTCTTTGAGGCTCAACTGAACTAAGTTCTTCCCCAGCTGGGCGCCCCGCGCCTGCTAGGTGTTGTCGTTTCCCCGCGACTGGTGAGAAACGAAGACGGGTGTCTCCACAAGCAAAATATCGTCGGGTGTTCGATCGCTGCTCGGCAGCTCGAAGCTCTGCCGCCTCTTTCTTAGTATTGCTGAGATCCATCGGCTCGGGCCCGCTCGACGAGCTACTTGTTCATTACAAACGAGTCGTCTCGACTCAGAGCTGAAAGTGGTATCCAATGCCATACTCACTGCTTCTTCAAAAAAAGATGGGAGCACACGGAAGACTTGCATTCTGGCCACGCCAGTGTGGAGGCCCTCCATAAAGACGGTCACTGTGATCGCCTCGGTGAGTGGATAGGTTGCCATCCCGGCAATGAGAGTACGCAGCTTTTGGACAGAGTTCACCGATTTTTTTTCCTGTCGGGTGGCAAGCACACAATCACAGTTGATATACCTGGCTGGCGGCAAGATTACTCGTGAAAGCTGCATCTTCATCGCCGTCAAGGAGGAAAACGCCGCTCCGACTGATGTGTCGCACGTTAGTGTCCATTCTCGCGCTGGACCCCCAAGCTTGGAGATAGCTAGTGCCACGCGCTGTTGCCCGGTCTGGATCATGGCGGACGCCATGGCTATCTCGACCTCCTTCACCCAGAGCAGGAGATTTTTGCCATCTTTGCCCTCGAAGGTCTTCACACTTACCATGAGCGGCTTGGGTCGGGGGGTAGTCATCCGTCGTCGACGGTGACGTCATGGACGTAGTCGACGCCGACATCTTCTGCTGCCGGTGCTCTAACAGAGCAATTTCATAGCACGCAAACGCCTAAAGGCGCGCGCTGATCGCTTCAGTTCCTTCTGAAGCGAGGTGTTTCACGCCAAGAGATCCCGTCCTGTATGCCTAAGGCAAATAGGAGAGCTGCTTCATCCTCACATAGGGTCAGTCAGCACTAAAAGTGCTACCAAGTGCAGCGGGGCAGCTGTAGATCTTTCTCTTAGAGGAAGCTTAGTTAAGGTCGACGACCTCGTTCTATACTTGGAATGCAATCCGGTTATTCCAATAGTAACTACAAGCTGAGCCCAAGGCTAAATCAATCTTCCGTTTTAAAAGTGAGCTGTATTTCTTTGTTTTATCTGCGGCAGAGCCCCCTATATCTGAATCTATGGGTTTTCCTATCTTCGTAGCAAAACCTAACCAAATGTATAACTGCTGGCTATTTTCAGCCACATACTGACTTATTGTTGAAGTGTAGTCACACCATTGTGTTTTCACACCATCGTGTGGGACCCTTTACATCTTAAGTCACTCCATTTGAGAGAGAATTTCTCTCGTCACTTATTCCCGTGTAGATTCGCCGTTTCGTTTAGTGATATTTCTTTCACGATCGTGTTGACCACCACATCTATTAATTTTCTTTTTGAAGGTCAGCCCTTATACTCGCGAATTACAATCGCCGAACAACTCGGTAGACTCTAGTACGGTAAACCGCGATGCCCAGTCGACTCTACGTTAGTACTGGCCCATTAGACATGAGCTGAAAGCTATCCTTGACGATCCCTAGTGACGAATCCAGGGACAAAATCAAGCGACCCTTTTCATATCGACAGAGATACACATTTGAGAGATCAATATACAGCTTTTATATCATCCTGACACTGCTACAAATGTAGTTTCTACTAAATTTGCTCTCTTCGAAGCATTAGAACTTTCGCCAATTTTGGACAATCCCATAAAATATCACACTTTCGTGCCCCCGCCAGGAGCGCAACCGTTTTTAAGAAGATGTGGACTCACGGCTTATCAAAGCACCGCGAAAAAAAACGTTTGTTCTGCTTCTTAAGTAATCAGAAGGCTTGCACGATAGGCGTATAAGGGACCCACCGCGGCGCGGTAGGCTACTTCTAACGGATTCAATTCATGATAGCGTGGTGAATTCTCACGGCGAAGGGGCCAAAGATATAAAAACCACCACAGCTTACCATCAACTACATTAAAAGATTCCCAAAGATTTTTTTTGTAATCGCAGTCGATGATCCAGTTGGTATATTTTAGAATTTGAGCTCTCATACGCAACAAACCCGTGGAGTATCAGTGCTCCGTACAATGCGGCTTCATTCGGTTTCACTGACTCAGCAGTATCAATACATCGTGACAAGGATAAACCGTATATAAATGGTGCGATCCTTCCTCTTCAATCAACGGATTTGAAACGCCTACAATCTATTCTGCTGGAAACCGTGACATACAGTCGCTTTTATCCGTCCCATCGGTGCTAATATCAATTTTACAAACTGAATATTCTTTTCATCAGATACATTCTAAAGACCGCGTAATACGAGCACTTATTTCCTGCCTTATCCATAGTCCGCCACTTACTGCCGATTTTGCCCAACCAAGCTTTTCTCAACGCACTAAGAATGTAACTCCATGTCTTGTGTTGGATCTGTCATAGTTTTGTGCCTGCGCTAGAAGCGGTTTTGAATTCAAGCAGAGGTGGGTCTGTGACTAACCAATGCTCCACCATGTCTGAAAGAGCTGTACTCAATGTCTTTGACTCTTACGTAATTAGTCGTTTATTGCATACCATGAAAGTATATTCTAGATACTTCCCATTTTTATGTTGGATTTAATTTAATTATCAACGTAAAATCTTAAGAAATTAGGAGAACACAAACACCACTACTTCGCGACAATTTTACAAAAAGCAGCACATGGCCTCCACAGAGATTGTCAATGTGCTTGATTCAATTTCGCCTGAGACTTTACGCGATGTTCTGCTTTTTGACAATCCTGACACATTGTCTGTGACGACTGAATTGCAGAACATCAACGAGCTGGCAAAGAAGCTGCGAGATATCGATGATTTTGATCTTCAGACACAGTTCGACAATGTCGTTCGCACCATCAAATCTCTCAGCGATGTGGTCATCAAATACATTACAAGATCTGCAACGAAAGTGAATAAAGAAGGAAAGGTTGTGGTACTTGACGATCATCTGCAGCCAATTTTCAACGTTTTGAATGCATTTGTAATTCGCTTAAGGCGTCGAGAGCTACAGAATGACAAAGATCTGGTTCGGTGGTTACCGTTTGTGGTCACAGCGTGCTACTTTATTGATAAGCGAGAGTTTTCTAGTGTTGATCTTATCCAAAGTCTTAAAATTGCTGAGGAAACGCTGGATGAGGCTGTGAAGCTCACAAAAGCTGAAGATCGAACGTGTTTAATAGCAAAATACGCCTCGCAGATTGTGGCACTATGCTCGCAAGACGTGAAGAAGGAGGAATGGGTGGCGGAAGCGTCGATCAACAAGAAGATTATGCTGCAATTGGTAGAAGAAATACCATTTCCGTATTTGGGCGGGGATCTACTCGGCCGTCTGCTGGCGCTCACGTTTCCGCTTGTGGATGATCTGATAGACTCAACGCAGCTCATTGGTGCACGTATGCTGCGTCATATTGTACATAATGTCACACTAACAGAGCTACGATGGTATTCAGATGTATTGCTGGAGGTGCTTCATACTGCACTCGTTTCTCGCAAGCCACAAACGCTTGACGTGTTACTTGACTGTCTCGTAGAATCGCTTGACAAGGTATCTGCTGCTGGCAACGTTCAGCATTACGATCGATTTATACCTCGTCTACTCCGCGACACGAGTCTTTGCACTGATGTTTCTATCCGGGTGGTTTTCGTCCGACATTTGCAAGTTCTGATTGTTCGCCAAGGCGCCCCACACAGCCTTAATGCAATTCGATATCTACAACCATTACTGAAAGTATTGATTGCAGGCTTTGAGAGTGTCAATGTTACTTTTTTGGTCACAACACTTGAAGCGCTACAAGCGACTGTACTTGCTACATGGCCTCGCATTGCATCCCACACTGAGCAAATACTGGTTGGTGTTCTACGTGCTGTGGCGTTCTGCGAGATCTTCGATGATTGTGCAGAATTTACACCCTCCAACGATGAAAAAGCGCAGATACTTGCGCTCTGTGAAGACGTTGTAGACCTGTTACACAAGGTCAATGCTGGCAATTTAGCTGTGAGCAATATGCTTATCAAAGTGGGCAACCAGGTTCCCAAGTTGTCGCCGTTTTGCAATCGAATGCAGAAGAAATGGAAATCTGGATAGGATAGTTCTACTTCGAATTACAACGTCAGAAAACTGACAAATGTCGAGTGGTGGCTAGATGCTGTAAACCCCAGAGTTGGCTCTCGATACAACCTAGACGTTGCCTGAATATTCAATCGGCTTCGAATCTCACGTGGTGGCTCAAGCGTTGACATAAACTTTATCTATGATTGCTTAGGGAAATGCCTTTCCTTGCGCGCGAAACTCGAATCATATAGGCAGCACCGCTCTCACCCGACTTTTCGCTCTTGAAGCAAAATTTGAGCTTTATGCAAGTCTACCAGCTGATTACAAAGGCAAGAACAGCTACAGAAAACAAAGAAGAGTATTTCTACGCTATCTCAAGGAGAGATGCAGGATACTGGCTCTATATTATTGCTACGGACGACGGACATCTGTGTAGCCCTTTTAATGCTGGAAAAGGTACTCATCCTCGTCGAACATACTAAATCGAGCTACAGAGTTTTGTTTACCTGCATGATGAGATGTGTCATCACTAGCGACGAAAACGACCTCGTCTGTTCCGCTTACGACCGCCTCGATGGCGACGTTTTCGCGGCTGGCCCATGGGTTGCTGACCCTGACGCTGCTTTCTCTCCTTGACTTCTTCGTCAGTGAGTGGCAAGTAGTAGAGTACAGGTTTTGTTTCGGTCTTTTGAAAAAATTCGTCGATAGTCACCACTGGTTTAGACGGAATAATTGCCATTAGCCATTCGCTACTTATGTTGAAACACAAATAACTTACCTTGTCGCTGAGTTGATGGTGTGACTTCACTATCTTTAATCTTCGGTTGGCTCGGTATATTCGCTTCACCAGATTGCACGACCTGGTCAAGTGCACAGTAAGCAAAAAACGACCGATTCAACGCTGCTAAACTCTTACCTCCATAGCCGTATGATCAACAAATTTAACCTGAAGCGAACGACCGTTCTCAGGAGGCCATACCTTGCCGTTTAAGGACTTACTCGTCTTTACAGCCTGAATACATGAATGCGATCGAAATCAGAACACATGTATAAATACACTTACATGAACGCACAATTTCGGAAGTCGGATACGTCACAAAACAATGAGTTTTGATAGCATCCATCCAAAAGCCATTTTCAACAAAATTGCCTAGTTCTTGCACAAGAGTCTTCAAAGCAAACCACATTAGTTACCATCTCCACGACTCGCAGCCTTTCTTATCAATCATTAGAACCTTGACAGCATTGAGCGTAAATGGCCTGATAAAGTTATCGATCCGAAGTGTTGTTCTGGTCTCTGTAGCTCTGTCATTAAAAGAGAGACACCTGTGAAGCAGATGGTTGGTAAGATCAAACAAAGCAATCGTCTTACAACTCAGCAGTATCTTCTGTATCCTTTGAAGTATCCAGGCTTTTTGCCGCAAGTATCGCAGGTTTCGTATCTTCATTTTCTGGTTGCGAACTAATGGTTTCTGTCTCTGTAGTCAGCTTTGCCTTTTTGACGTTCGGTGCGTCTTCGTCTTTGTCCTTTAGAATTGCCTCGACGTCCCGTTTCACTCGCAAAATCCCTTCACCATTCTGCTCCTGCGTGAACTCGTGCTTGTCGTCATCCTTTCTCTCGTCAACAGTCTTGAGTACCTTGTCATTATCCGTTATTTCCTTACTTTTCTTCTCGTTATCGTAATCAGCTTGTCGGCATTCCTCTTGCAGCTCCTCCTGCATATCCCTTATCAGAATGTAGTAATATAAAGTGATTTTCGCACATTAAACTTATTGAAACCTGCTGCAAATGCGCCTTCAAACGCTGAAGCAGCATCGCCTTAAGTCCGCTAGTGTCCAGGTCTCGTTTCTTCAACTCTCGCTGTAGATCCTTCACCTGATCAGGGAAAACACATCCTTCGAATCAATTGGTTCGTTTGTTAGAACATTAAAGATCGACACATCATACCTTCAGGTGAGAAAGCGCATTCGCATCCAACGCCATGCCCGCAGACGCAGACTAAAGCGCACAACACAAAACTTGATGAGCTTTCGAGGTGGGAGCTGAACTACTTTCGAACTTAACATTTTGTAATTATCTTTAAGAAATAGTAGCTGACAATCGAACTTAAGCACCAAATGCATTTGTTCATATAAGTATTGCTAATCGCAAAGTCTTTAACGAAATTTAAAACAAATGCCTTATAAATGTTGGTGTACCATTAGTTGATGATGTGGTCATATGTTATGCAGGTGTGCCCTTCGATGGTATGCTATGTGTTGCTGGCTTACATTATAGCTCAAAAGGAATATCCTCGTTCGAATAGAGAACATCATACTCAAGTCCAATCTTCGTGTCGTATAATAGCGAAACGCAGCTAGTCGCATATGCCTTATCCGTATTAAGGCGCTCCAAAATGCGCAATAACGAGCACACTGCTGATAATAATTCTTCTTTCTTGATGGGATTGACATCGTGAGCGTCTCCACTCCCTCCGGCGCGACTGTCCTCAGTCAAATCACTTGCAGCAATATTTACACCACAACTTCCGTCATTCTCTCTTTCGATCGCTGCAACCATTCGATGAAGATTATGCAGCAGCCAGTCATACAAAAATCCTCGTGGTTTTGCTTTTAGCGCTTCCAGTATCAACGAATCGTCTTCGACAGTTGCAATGTGAATCAAGTGAACCAATGTAAAAGACAATTGGGTCTCCAATTGTTCCTTGTAACGGAACTCGGTCACATCCTTCAAATCTGACGCCGTCTCCAGTGCATCTACAGTGGCTCGAAGCGCTAACTGAAAGAACGAACCAAATGCACTACGCGTTTGGGAAACACGAAGCGCAGTGGCAGCACTAATTCGCACTTTAAAATTCTCCTGCTGGGCAACCGCAGTCAGCAGTGATTGAAATACGGACGGTGCCCACGCCACTGACGCGAGTGGAAGAGTAGGACACAACAGCACTTTGGCAATAGCGTGACATGCATTCCATCGGACCTTGGGTGAGCCTGCATTGATCTTACCAGCCAGCACAACCATAGCCTGTCCTAAGAGCTCATCAATCGAAATTCGATCTTTTGACGAGCTAAGTGTGCGTCGGAATGGCGGAAAGCTAATCCAACGGCAAACTAGTCCCAACGTGCGAGCCACACTCGATGCCACCTTGTCATTATCGTTGATGTATAACAGCATCTTTTCGATCACTTGTCGCAATTGTTGAGCTGGCAAAAGATCGTAAAGCACTTTGGAAGATAACAATGGACAGGACAACGATGATTCACCACTGGGTACAAATGAAGACAATAATGCACATGGCGGTAGCAAAGGCGACTCCAGCTCCCCAATTGCCTCAGGTCCCGGAGTCGTGCAGACGTTACCAAGAGCCCAAGCAGCTCGAACACGCACGTTCAAAGTCGAATCACTGAGAGCATCCAAAGCCAAATTCACCACATTACTTGCAAATTCACGAGTTTTAAATGTTGGCGCAAGACATAACGATCCTAACAATCGAAATCCAGCAGCGCGAACGACAGGTGAGCTGTCTTTTGAGGATTGCAAAAAAATGCGCGTGTAAGATTCCAGACACGAAACATTCGAGCCCCCGCCATTATAGCCACCACTCTTTGCTGCCAATACTGGAAGTCTTCGAGGCTGCTTCTTTTCTCCTAACCAGGCCCAATTTTGCGACGACAATAGCGTAAAACATGCGCAGACACTAGCACGGACGTGATGCGACGTATCATAGAAAGCTCGTACCAAATGTGTCGCCATAAACTCTAAGCAGTCGATGCGACAGTTCTCTGAAATTACACAGGTTGCTACAGCCTTTTCTGAGCTGCAGCCCCCTCCCTTGATATAATTTTCCAGAATTTTAACCGCTTGTAAGCGAACATTTGGGTCCATATCTTGAAAAGCCACCAGCATGAATTCTGCAAGACCCTGCCAGTTCGCACTAAGAGCAGGCGTATAGTTCTTGGCAATCTTAGACAAAAGTGACATGGCCTCCAGACGCAGCAGTGTGTGTGACGAATCATCAGGTCTAGATGCCAAAAACAATAGCTCTTTCACAAACGATCGACGACGAAGGAGCCATGTGCCACATGCAATCGATACATGCGCAACTCGTATCACTTCATCCGTGTCACTAGTATGAACCATCCAATCCAGGATGGAAGGAAGGGTTTCTTGAACATTAAGCAAGGCTGACATACATGACAAGCTTGCCATCCGCACACCATGGTCTATATGTCAACAATAACATCAGATCAGCAAAAAATCACACTTATCAACTCGTAACCAACGACTCAAATTCACCAGTGGACCCTGCGGCAACGTATAAACTCGATGCAAGTGCTTTCAAGACGTTCCCCAAGCTTGGCGTTAGCTCCATCTGATCTAGCACTGCAGCGACATTTCCATAGGGAAAATGCTGAATCACTGATGCCGTACTCTACAAAAGAAGCATATGAATACCAGCGTTTTGACAATAGGCTTGCAAGCCGCTCACCTTTAAGATCTGAGCAAGTGGGGTTGATTCTTTTTCGTGCTGTATACAATACACCAAAGTTATGTGCATTTGGTACAACATCAATGAGATTCGTTTAGGCATAGATGCAAATGACATTGACGACGTGAGCAGAGAAGTCGTCGCAGTGCCAGACGCGCGTCGAAAATACATCTTGAGCGGGATCTTTTCCCAAAACGCATCTAAAAATTTGGCAGCAGTCATGCGAGCCTTTTCACTTGGATCCATGATAAGTAGCGTGAGAACTGAAGGAGCATTGTTAAACAATGTCATGTAAGGCGTTGTCTGCTCTGGTAGATAGAGGCCCATTGACGATGTTATAGCTTTCGGAAAGTGCTGGGCAATCGCTTCCAAAGTGTATAGCACAGTGATACGTAGCCGCGCAAGCAATCCGCTAAAGCAAAAAAAAAAATTGAAATTAAAGCTATACATACAAGAAAATCTTGTCAAATTTGAGCACATTACTTACTCTCCGACCTGACGTCCTCCAGTGCTATTGTCAGACCCGCATATTGACGTATCTGACTCTGTGGGATGTATTTCTTCTTGCAATGAAAACACGAAATCGTTCTGATCGCACTTGAGCACCAGTCCATAGCCAACAACTTGACGCATGGAGCTGAGTAGACTGGGAAGTGTTGCGGCAATGCGATCGTTAAGACGGTCGAAATTAGAATTAATTATCGTAAAGATACACTTGACACTGGAAGTGCAAGCTTTGACAAGAATGCGATCGTTTTGGCCTTTAATAAGACTGAGTGCTTGCTGTCGAAAATTCTCCACCACCATCCGCAATAACGACGAAAAGTAGTGGTATACTTCGGGTGTCTTTCCAGCTTGCGTGCAAATGTTCGATACACAGCTCGTGGCAGCATACCGAGCTTCAATATCCACACCCGATGGATCCAAATGTTTCATTAAGACAGCAAACAGAAATTCAAACTCGCTACTTGCCCGATCAGCATTATCATGAAGCACTTGGCCTAGTGCGCGAATTGAATTAGCCGTATACCAGCTTGGACACGTTTTGATAAACTTTAGTAAAAATGTCATGACAACACGCAACTGTGCACTCGAGAACAATACTCTCTCCTTGCCGCAACATTTGAGTACAAGCCGCGTATATTCCGAGCTTAACAGGCCTGAACTTAATGGTAAGATTTGAGCTAGCGCTGTCACCAATGTCGCAATTTCATCACCTCGGATCCGAGGATTAGGTAGTGCAATGCCCATGAGCTGTTTCAGTATTTCCTCTAGATCTACAAGCGTGAGCTGCAACACAGCCACGTCGGCCTCCAATCGCTCAGCCGCAACCGTCCAGAGCTTACGATCTCGACGTTGTACACTTAAATTCCATCCTGTAGATGGAGACGAGCCTAGCGCTACATTCATACCGCCTGCTGCACAAATGGCGGGACTCATCGCCAATTCGCTTTTGTAGGTTCTGAAACTTCCAACTGTGACAGACAGATAGCGACCCGAAGGCGCTTCACTGCGATGTCTTCTTTCCTGTCGTTTTCTTGAGTATTTAACTGGCACGAACAATTTAAATGGCGCGTCCCGCGTCTGCGTCGTGTCTCGGCAAATTATCGCGATCGCCGCTTCTCATGATGAGCAGCTCCAAAAAATGGCTACATCGGCACTGATTGGTAAGTTGTCGCATGGAAGTTAATAGGAAGTGCTGCACAGAAGATATATGCATCAAAAAGATCACCTGTGTCTACTTTAATCTGTTGGTCATTTTTTATTATTACAAGAAGCGTTGTAATCGATATATCAACACGAAAAACAATTTCAGATGTTGCGGCATTTAAATCCACGGACGACACGATGTCACAAATTTATTGCATTCGTGTAAAGGTTGTACATTGCTTTCAATACCATGTCTGTAGGTATTTAGCAGCACAACAACAAAGCGTCAAAGGCTCCAAGCGCGATTGTCAGTGCAGCATACGATGTAAAATTGCGACAATTAAAGATATCGGCGTCTTCGACGTCGAAAGCAGCTGCCACTAACTCAATTGGTTATTCTCTCATAGTGTTTCGTTTAGCAATTGCAGCAACAGGCGTGGTAGGTGTTAATGTCAGAGTTTTCAACGGCTCCCAGAATGTGTTCTTGTTAATAAAAGGTTATGAGCAAGGTCACTTGAGGTTGGTGGCGTTCATTCCAGTCCCCCTCGTACCATACATGGTGTAATAACTGTTCGACATTGGATCCGAAATAGATTTGACGTTTCCAAAAATTGCAGCCGGTATACCGAAAATTTCACCTATATTTGACAGCTCGCTACCACAAAAAAATGTATCTATTAATATAAGAAGAATTGTATAAAGGGTACATATTTAGCTTATCAAAGATTACGAGTGCAGTTTCCATGATATGGTTTACGGATCGCTGCATAAAAAATTAGCTTAAGATCCCTATCGCTTTCGTACTGAAGATGAGCCACACCATTTGCTACAGAAATCCACTTTTCTTACTTCCTCGCGTATCTCACTTGTTATCTTCTCAAATACGGCTAATTCTACCAAGCTCAAGTGAAGAGTCCATATTGCCTATTAATTGAAATACAAACAAGACTTGAGCGATCCAGGTTACTACTCGGCAGATATCTCTCAATATGATCTCTAAAAAGAAGCGCTTTCGCAAAGGTGTACTCCGAAATGAGCGAAATTATGATGAGACATTGGAGCCTCGTTGCTATCGTACCGATTACCATAACATTTAATTTAGTTGATGACGCGAAGTTATTGAGTTAACGGTCGGATGAGAATTAGTAGAACACATGCCAAATCTCTCGAAGCATTTTTGGTCTCTATTTCCATCATCATTTAACTTATGTTGCTACTACGATTCGGATTCGTGAGATATCTGTAACACCGTTGTAGATTGACGCATTTCGATGACAAAGTCGACTGTTTAGATATTTGGGGTAGGATAAAGTCATAAGTCAATCGCCAAAACCCTTGCAAACTTACAAGATTAAATCATACCAGAAAGAACGTTTACACACGTAAACTAGTCACCTTTTGAAAGCGTGCTCGAGAACGAGTAACTACCAACTGGTTTAAAAGATATAGTTGCATCCTACAGCCGAAGCATAAAGATCAGAACTATACACAGACTTAATCACCATTATCACCAAAAACATTGCATTTACAACTGCCCTCTTCGGCTTGGTATACTAATTAGAAACAGTAAACGAATCGTCTCCAATACCGCCGTCTACGCTGCTAGCGTCAATACTAGCCGCGTATTTGCTTGCAAGCTCAAGGTCAGCCTTAAGCTGCTCCATACCCGAGGACAGCAGCTCCCACAAATCGGGCGCCTGGCCTTGCCCCGCGGCAGCTAGCTCGTCATCATCCGGAAGGTCGGTGTATTGTGACAGCTGCTGCGTGAGACGATGCGCACGCGCTGACAAGACGTTGTTCTCGGCTTGCAGCTCCGCAAGCTTTACGCGAAGCTCGTCGTGTGCATTAGTTTCGTCAAAACGCGCCTGAGCGAGTTGCTCCAGCTCATCCCGAAGCATATTATTTTCGTTAACAATGCGGTCAATTTCATCTCGTGCTTCCTGTTCCACGTGACGAGCAAATTCTTGAATGCGGCTGACCTTCTTGTCACTTTCGCGAGACAGATCCTCACAATATGCCTTCGATTTCTGCAGCAATCCTTCAAGCTCACGGTTCGTTCCCTCCAGTCGCTGATTCACACGCTTGTACTCGTCCATTGTCTGAATTAGATGCGCTTTTTCATCGTTCAATCCGCGAAGCTGGCCTAGTTCTGTTTCAAGTGAATACTTTTCTTGCTGCATCGCAGCTAGCTGTGCGCGAATCTGCTCTAGCTCATGCTGAGAACGCTTCATTGCCGAAGTACTTTCATTGTGAGCTTGGCGAAGATTCTCGCACTCGCCATTTAACTGTGCTAACTGCTGGTCCGAAGACATTTTTTCAGCCTTGTAGCGATCAAGAAGATCTTTATGCTGAGCCACATTAGATTGGTTGCGTTGTGATTCTGCAGCGAGCTCGGCATCCTTACTTTGAAGCCTTTGGGTGGTCTCTGCCAATTGACGCTGGACATCGGCATGTTCTGACTTAAGTTGTGCGACTTGACTACGTGACACCTGCTGCTGCTTCTCAATTTCATCACGCATGCTTTGAATTTCCGAGATTAACGAAAGATTTTTTTTCGTGAGAGTCTCAAGCTTTTTTTGCACTTCATTATGGTGTGCGCGCATCGCATTAAGTTGCTCCTCAGCTTGCGTTGCCTTTGCCTGCGACTGTTCCATTGACCTCGACAGATCATCGTTCGCGCATTGCAGCTCGTTCAAAGAGGATTGAGCAGAAGAAAGTTTATGTTCATAGAATTCCTGAAGCCTTTTTTGCTCTTGTTCGGCAGCGACTCGTTCTGACAAAGCAGTCTGTAAATCTGCAGCAATCGCATTCTTCGAGTGTTCTGCCTCCAGCAATTGCTGCTCTAATGACTGCTCCTTACTGTGAAATTGGCTAATTTGTTGTTCCAGTTGTGCAATCTCTCTCTGAGCACGATCCAAATCAGCGCGAGGAATGGACGACTGTTCTATCTCTGCAATGGACTGCCGCAAGCTAGCACAGTTTTCTTGCTCGGTTCGCAAATGAGCTTGAGCATTCGCCAAATCCTCCATCGTAGTCTCTAGGCTGGATTGAAGTTCAAACGAATTTTCCATATTTTCCTGAGCCATATCTTGCAAGTTCTGAAGCTGTTGCTCCAACGACTTTATTTCAATCTTCTGGTTGTTCACAGTACACTCAAATTCTTGAATTTTAAGTTTCAGCTCATTGACGGAAGCCTCCGACTGCGTCAACTGATTCACAATCGCATCCTTTTCAGATCGAGCCTGGCTTAGCTCATTTTGTATTAAAGCCACCTTCTCATCACTTTTTGAGGCAGCAACAGCAATATCTTGTAGCGCGGCAAGCTCTTGCTGCAAGATTGCATTAGCGCCTTGAGTTTCCGCGAGATCAGTCTGCGCCTTACGAAATTTTTCATGCAAATGCTGCAACTGGTTTTCAATATTCTGAAGGCGTTTGATCTCACAACCCAGCTTGGCAATTTCTTGCTCCTTCAAAAAAAGTTCGTGACCTTTTTCAACCGCGTCAGTTTGAGAGGCGCGGAGTAATTCAATCTCTTGCTTCAAAGTGTTCAGTGCTTCTTCGTCAATTTGCTTAACCTTGATCAGCTCATCGTGGGCGGAATGAAGACGGTCAAACTCAGTTGAGAGGGCACTACAGTTATGCTCTAGATTCGAAATGTGCTCTGCCTTTTCGTTGGCAGCACGTCTCACCTCTTGAAGCTCTTGCTCCAACAGCATGATACGCTTCTCCGGCGAAGGTTTGGCGATACCTGCTTCTTCATGTTCCTCATCCCCTTCAGACTGCACTGATGAAAGCATCTGATACTGCTCTTCAAGCCAAGCATTACGATTATTTAGGTGCAAATTTAATTCCATTGCCTCGGTGAGCTCGCGCTGAGCAGTAGCAACTTGCTCCGTAAGAACGCTGATAATGTCAGTATCGCCTCCTACCACCGCAAGCCTGTCACTTTCAATCGATGCTTCGTCGCCATACCGAGTACGGTTATCAAGTTCGACTAACTTCGCGACTTCCTGGTTCTTGCAATCAAGCTTTTCCTGTAATTCCTCAAGCTGTTTCTCTAGATCCACAACCTTGTTTTCGAGTACAGATTGACCTGAAAGCGCTTTTTCGCGTAATTCTGCCTGATTTTTAATCGTATCCGCCGACATTGAAGCAATTTGCTGCTTTAACTCCTCGTTTATCTTCCACAACTCGACACAATCGTGCTTGTAATCCTCTAACTCCTGAGCCGATTTTGCTACAAATCCTTCGTGTTCTTTGACCTGATTCTCTAAAGTCTCCAATTCGTGTTGACCTTCCATCTTCAGTCGTTGTAACTTCTCGTATTCTTGAGAAACCCTGTCTAGCTCTAGTTGAAGCTGCTCGAGAGCATTTACGTCCATCATGCGCTGCGTCTGAGCTTCATCTAGACTACTCTTCAAGTCTTCGGCTACAGCTTTGGAGTCACACAGAGCCTGCTCTTTTTCAGTCAAAGAAGCTTCAAGCATTGCTTTTTCAGCTATAATTGTCGAAAGAGCCATGTCCTTTTCCCTTAACTGCTCTTCATATTTTTCACCAGCAACCTTGCTTGCGACTTGAATTGCATCAGCGGCCTCCTTCCTCGCCGCTTCGCGCTCGGCAATTAGCTCTTCAAATTGATTTTGATAATCGTCACGGAGCTCACATTGCTCCTTGTCCTTCGTCGCCACTGCAGCTTTAAGCTTCTTTAACTCCACGTCCTTCTCCTGCAGCTCCAACTCCAGCTGCTTCTTGACTGCAGCCAACGCATCACTGACATAAACATTAAGCAAATTAAAACGTATATGCACTCCTTTTCTTGCTAGAAACAGTTACCGCATGTCAGTGATATCCTGTACTCGCTCCATGAGCATCGGTTCCGACGTGTACTCAACCTTGTACTGCAGCTGCACATTCTGGTCTTTTAAGTCCTCCATCTCTTTCTCCAATCCTGCTATCTTGGCTGTCAATATCTTACGTTCTTTCTCCATCTGCAGACCAAAAGATGTTTAAATTGTCGTCTTTTTCGTCAAAATTACTCTGGGCTCCGCACCTGATCCACCAACGTTCTTTTTTCAAATTCATGCTCGCCCACCTTAACCATCAGATTATTTAAACGTTTGAGCAACATTTTCATGGCCGAGTCATCATTCTCACTGCCACTTTTGGTACTTTTCGCATCAACTACCGGGTTGACGCGTTGTTCAGACAAAAATGACGGCGGTGTGGACGGAGCTGATGATTGAAGGGGTGACGGTGTCGCGGGCGGGGTCGAGTGCTGTGGAGACACTGGCATCTTTACGGTCTCTTCAATTGAGTGCGTGCTGCCCGTTTCGTTCTCATTGTCGCCAAAGAGCACGGCCCACATGGCATCCGTCGAATTATTGTAATGCGGACTACGACCAGATAGCCGCGATTCGACCTAAATAACAGCGTATATTCTGCTCGAAAAACCTGTCATACAGACTAACGTTTTGTGTGGGCTACATGAACATGACGCTCGTGCCTTATTTCAGGTACACTTGCTAAGCGCCAACCAAGTCAAATAACGCTGTTTGATATCTCCACTCGTTCATTGACGTAGAATTGAGTCTCGCTCTTTGACGTCAGGATGGTGGTATACAACTTTAAGAAGATTCAGACAGTGCCGACAGCCAATGACTTTATTGATATTGTGCTCACGCGCACGCAGCGCAAGACGCCGACAGTGATCCATCCGACATATGCCATCTCACGTATTCGCGCATTTTATATGCGCAAGGTTAAATTTACGCAGCAGACGTGCCAAGAGAAGCTTAGTCAGATCATTGATGACTTTCCACGCCTTGATGACTTGCATCCGTTTTACGCTGATCTTATTAATATTCTATATGACCGTGATCACTACAAGTTGGCGCTCGGTCAGGTCAATACAGCCCGGGCTCTTATCGACAACATTGCTAAAGATTATGTTCGAATGATCAAATATGGTGACTCGCTCTATCGGTGCAAGCAACTTAAACGTGCGGCTCTTGGTCGAATGTGTACACTTTTAAAAAAACAAAAGGCTTCACTCGAGTATTTGGAAGAAGTGCGAAAGCATCTATCACGTCTTCCATCTATTGACCCAAACACCCGCACGTTGCTAGTAACTGGTTTTCCTAATGTAGGCAAATCGAGCTTTATGAACAAGGTCACGCGTGCCGATGTGGATGTCCAGCCGTATGCTTTCACAACCAAGGCTTTGTACGTCGGCCACCTAGACTACAAATATTTACGGTGGCAGGTGATTGATACCCCTGGTATCCTCGATCATTCTCTTGAGGATCGTAATACAATTGAGATGCAGGCTGTCACAGCACTTGCTCACTTACAAGCGTCCATTCTCTTCTTTATGGATATTTCTGAGCAATGCGGCTTCACTATTGAGCAACAGCTAAGTCTGTTTGAGAACATCCGCCCGCTGTTTGCTAACAAACCGCTAGTATTGGTGTGCAACAAAGTCGACCAGATGCGCTTCGAAGAATTATCAGAGCACCACCAAAATATGATTAATACGGCCGTGGAGGAAACCAAAGCCAAGTTTTTCACAATGTCAAACCATTCCGAGGAGAATGTCATGGAGGTGAGAAATTACGCATGTGATGAGCTTTTGGCCCATCGTGTCAATTCAAAGGTCAAAGGCAATAAGGTGGCTGATGTGCTCAATCGCTTGAGCGTTGCTATGCCTGTACCTCGTGATGACATGAAGCGTGAGATCTCTATTCCAGCCAGTGTTATCGCAGCTCGCAACAATCCAAGCAACGCAGCACCACGTGTGTTGCTCAAGGACAAGATGAACGCTAATGGTGGGGCGGGTGTATATTCATATGACTTCAAAGAGCATTACAAGGGCATGCTTGGCAACGACGACTGGACACAGGATGCGATTCCAGAAATCTGGAATGGCAAAAATATTGCCGACTTTGTGGACCCTGACATACTTAAGCGTCTCGAGGCTCTAGAGAGAGAGGAAGACGAGGCAATGGAGAACAATGCCCCAATGGATGTAGATGAGGACATGAGCGACCTTGACGACGAGCAGAAAGACAAATTGGCTCGTATTCGAGAGAAGAAAGCCATCATTATAGCGAATCACCGTCAGAACAAGAACAAGAACCACTCGTCTGTTGCACGGAAGGTGCGTGCAAAACTTCGCACGCTCACGCAAACGAAGAAGGAATTAGAGGCTCTTGGCGTGGATACTAGTTACATGAAACACGCAGATGCAGTTGTAGCAAAAAGGAAAGCAGGTGATGAAATTCGTGGTCGGAAGCGCCAACGCGAAGACATGGATGTGGATATGGAAGATGCAACCGAGAGCTCTGATTACCGTGTGCGTGCTCGTGCTAAATCAGCACTGCGCTCCAAGTCAAAGAACCGGTCACAATCGTTGGTAACTCCACGTGATCAAGCCGGTTTTGGTGACAAGGCTGCAATGGCTACTGCGAAACGTGCGACTCGGTTAACACAGCGCAAGGCGGCCAAGATGGGTCGCGCCGGTGAAGCTGACCGGAAATCAGTACCGAAGCTGGCGAAATGGCAGAACTCGGGCAAGCGTGGCCAAGGCAATACGTACTCGCGTTAAGTTTAGACACAAGTATAGCCTTTTACATAACGTTGCCACAGATATTATCCACCTATAAAATGTTCGATTTATAGATTGAGGATTTGTATTAAAAATAAGCTTCATCTCAAGAAAATTAGCAGTAAAGTATTTTATTAGTAGTCGCTTTTGTAAATGTTATCAAATGAATTATATACTTTGACTTCGTGATGAGGATAGCCTGCTGCCCGCACTTCATTAACCTGATTGCTCGTTCCAATCTTCGTATTCACGTCACGACTATTTTCTGTCCAGTCATGATTTGGGTAAATTGTTAGATCGAGACTTTCTGAAACCTCGTTCAGGTGGGAGATATCACCCTCGGAGAGATTCTTAAAGACGACGTCGACTATATAGTCATAACGTTTTAAAAGCAAGTGAAGGTGATTTGGCATATCAGGTACAAGTCGCTCGATAACAAGCGAGATTGTTAATCCGACTTGACAAACAACAACAAAGCCTAATGCCTTGACCGTTCTGCTGTAATTCTCAAATAAATCGGACGTCCAAAGGATCAGCGCTGCGTTTGTTCCTACGGTGATATATGTCATCAAACGAAAGATGTAGAACCATACGCCAATACTTTTCGCTGGGTGAGGAAATGGACGACGACAACCAAAACAAAGCTTTGACGCATCCACGTGCACTTCCACAATATTGTTAATCAGCGCGAGCAAAGGAGTCAAAGGAAAAGCTACGACAAACAGATTATGAAATCCAAATTGAATTGCCAGCTCGTTGTAATCTTCGAAAGCTTCATTGCTTTCGTACGGTGCCAACTTAGCTTGAGCTTCGATAACATTGTGTCGAGCTTTCTTTTGGTCATTGTCCTGCGCGTTGGCCTCAACGTATAGCTGATATCGATACTTAAGGTACGGGATAGCTACTTCTGTGGTATTGCCCACCCCTATGCGAACCACAAAGAGAATCAACAGTTGATCACGTAGTTCTTTCATGCAGTCATCACCATACAAACACGAATTCTCTACTGAACGCTTGAGAAATGCGATATAGAAAAACGAAGCGAACGAATTACAAAACTGAAAGAGGAAGACTTTGATTGCCAAGTAGTTCTCATAATCAGCATCTGTGCGATGGTTTTCCAAATCATTTAGTTTTCGAGCAACAAGTCTGTAGATCATATTGAGAATCAAAATTTGAATAGCGTTTCCAACAGTGACTGCCAAGGTCAGTGGAGTCCGGAACTTGATGTCGATATTCGATGAAGTATCACCGTCGTTGATAAGATGTTTCAGTACAAAAAGCCCAACAAGCGCGATTATGACAATACCAACCATGATTGTAACGACAGTTACGGACACAGCAAACCATCGATGGCGCTTTGCTCGATTTTCGTACGTAAGCTCTTCGACATCAGTGATTGAATTGTAGCTCTTAATTCCACGAAATTGAGGCCGATAATGAAGGCCTTCGTAAAGTGCGTGACATCCCCAAAGTGATCCAAGTAGACCATTTTTTCGCTTCCAAAACTCAGAAAACATTGACGACCAAATGACCACGAAGATCGCAAAGGCGACCAAGAAGTATCCTCGATTATTGTCGTTTCCATCTTCGTCTCGCTCCTCTTCGTAAATAATCGTGATAATACCTGCAATGGATGGAAAAAGCAACATCTTGGTATAAAACTCGAGCCAAGCAAAGTAAAGCGCAATTTTTTCTCCAAAATAGTAACGAATTTTGTGGATCGGCTGGTATATCATTTTCATATCTAGGGCCCACGTTGTACGAAACTCGTTCAACGCAGCTTCATCATGAAGAGCAAACATCGGATTTTTCAAGTACCCTGCATCTTGAAGCGCATCCAAATTAAGGTGTCGCTCCACGATGCTCGATGCCAGACGAATACGATCTTTCTGAGAGAAAAGTGTTTGCTCATGAAAACCACCCCAATTAATTGGATAGCGACGAAAATAAGGTTGATATTCGGGCTCGTGGCGATAGTCGGCGAAAGGCGCGAAATACGACATCGGGTCGTGATGTAAGGAAAAGATCGAAGTCCAAAATCGATTCCAATGTGTCTGACTGTGATTATCCTGATCGGAAAACATACCATCAGCCTCTTCTCTGTGTCCCCAGCGACGAAGGGCATGGCGAATTTGTGGATGGAACTCATCGCCACGCGAAATAAGAAGTGGATCCATCTCGGGTATCTCTGACGTGTCGTTGGCCGTTCCGCGTTTATTTCGTAGATGATCTATTGACTTTTGCCATTCGACAGATCCAAGTTCACGCTTCAAATCCAGAATTTTGTCTCTGTGCAGCATTATGTCAAACGGCTTGTTGCTTAACTGCAAACAGTAGTTAGTACGATCGGCTTCCACACGTAAATCATCGTTCTCCGATTTCACCGACATGATGATTTCGTCACCATCACAGCTGAGAAACATTCGCGTCGTTAAGCCACATGCGAGCTGCACACGTCGCGATATGGCCGTGGCCACTAATTCACAAAAGCGACGCTCTGTCGTGAAGCCAGTCGAGCCTATAAACTGTTCGTACTCAGCTTCTAGAAAATGCTGTTCGCTTTCAAGTCTATTTTCGGTTTCTTGGCCACTTTCGCTGTGGCTGGTTTTCACCGTGTCACTTCCATGTTCGTCGAGGAAGCATCGAGGGGTTCGAAGTACACGCTGAAAAGGACAGAAATAGTGTTTGAGGTCACTTCCCAAAAGCAAAGCAACAAATGCTTGCATACTAAACAGTTCAGCTTTTTTTTCCTCGCCACCTTCCCGCAAAGGAAAAATCATGACCAGGTCGTTTTCAAACATCGTATTTTCATAAGCATTTGAAACTACGCCAAGCTTGTAAAATATTGATGCAGATTTACTTTTTGAAGTCATATCAACATGAGCCGAGCGTGCATTTTCAGCCGACATGTCCACGTAAATTTCATCTGAAGTGCCAAGGCCACCATTTACTTTCATTTCAGGTTGAAACTAGGTTTTAAGAGATATCAACAATGGAGCATCATTCAAGTTTAATTTAAAATGCACAGTCTCATGCTTGAATCGAAAATAGCTGCGATCATTTTGTTCGCAATACACATGGCTTTAAATGCGGTGTAGCTATTGTTACGTCTCTAACGCTTGTCAAGTAGAGACTTCAGCCTAATCTTGGCATTGCGGTGACATTTGCCAAAAATATATTCAGCATGCGTTTGCTTTTATGCACTTCATAGTCCTTGGAAGTGGTAGCGCAAGCTCGTTACGTAAAATTTTCAATATCTTGCCTGTCGTCACCACAACACACTACCATTCGTTCAACATGTCGGTATTATTGGCGCCAATATCAACTGTCCAAATCGTGTGAGGTTTTACTAACTTAGTTAGCGCACTTCGATCGGTCTTGCCCGTTAGTGGTTGCTTGCTAGGATACGACAATATGCTAATTTGTGAAGGTGCCACGTGTGCCACTTCTTCCACGTCGTATAGAAACATGGCACACTTCCACTTTACTTCGTCCAAGCCTCCACTAATAGAATCTAAATGCAACTCCATCTTTCGAACTTCATCACTCGACTGACCATGTCGTCGAAGATTTACACATCGGGGTCGATTTTTAGAGCTAGTAAATGAGAATCGGTCTTGAAACTTCCTCATTAATCCAATGTTGCCACTTGATACCATTTGACCTCGAGTTCGATTATCTCCAGCACTTGTTGCTACTTCCGAATCGCTTTCGCTACTATGTCCGGTGTGGTCACTACCTTCCGACCCTCTTTCTTCTCCAGTAATAGCACCTTGATGACTACTGGCAATGTCACCATAATTGGTTGTCAATGAAAAGCGAGCGAGTTTTTGAACCGACGCACTGGTGGGAGTGTCAATACCAGCATGATCGCCGTTATTATCGTTGCCACTACTCGCAGAACCATGCACTCCTGATGCACTACCTCCACGTGAGAGCAACTGGCGCGTGGTAGAAAATAATGAACCACCTCGCGAACTTGCATGTTGGGCTGCTTGCTCGGCAATTTTGGCCTTTGCTGAAAGCGCTGCCTGTTTAGCCATCCGCATCATGGCATCGTTTACAGAACTTTGAAACAGCGCTTCGTGCAATTCCTTGAGAGCAGCACGCATACGGTCCGCGTCTCCCGAGGCAGCATAGCCCACATACATTGCATGCCTTTCCGATCCATGCGGAAAGATGCCGTTCTGTCGCGAAGCTTCCTGAATCTTCTCGGACAGTACGTATTTTAAATACTTGGACGCCCGCGTAGTCTTTCTGTCTAGACGCACACGTTCCACGTTAGTGCTTAAATCAGTAGCAGACGAAAGTGATCCGGACGAGGAAGCAGAAGGTCGACCCGTTATAGCTACGGTAGAGAGGTAATCATCCCACATGCTGCGAAAAGCATTTTGATAAAATTCAGTTGATAGATCTTGGACTTCCTCCATTTCGTTTATTTCTTCTTTTCCCTTCGATTGTGCTATAGAGCTTGGAAGCAGATCCTCAACTGGGAGTGCCTCCTTAAAGAAAGACTGCAATTCTGTCTTGCTCAAAGGAGTATCTGACAAGACGGGCTCGCTTTGCATTGTGAATGTTGGAGCCACAGCTGGAGCAAATTCACTGAAGCCATCATCGTCCTCACCAGAAATTTGCGAGTCAGACTGATGAAAATCTGTAAAAGCCTCTTCCTTATCATCAGACGTCTGCGTAAAGTCACCAAAATCACCAAAATCTTCGTTATCCATGTTTTGTGCGAAGGCAAAAGCAGTGGAGACGGAGCCAGAAAAATCTCCAAACGAATCGCTAGCATCCTTTTCAATAATCATCTTTTCTACAACAGCTGGGGATGAAGACGAGCTCCACGGTGAGCTTTCTGATACTAATGAGGCGCTTTCAACGTGTTCTACCGCCACTACTAAACCATCGACGTTGCCAGAAACGTCAATGTCAGCGTTATCACTTACAATCTTTGTATCGGCCAGATGTGATTCGACATTAATGTACCCATTACAGTTTCGAGATGTGATGTTCGTTTCTGCTTGGTATGGATCTGAAACGGACGGGGACGCACATAGCGAGTCGTGGTGTGACAACAAATCGCTTGGTCTAGCAGAATCTGCACTAATGACAGTAGCTGATGTTGCAAAGGAATCGTGGTGACTCGTCTCAAAGATCTCTGTAGGTGAATTTTGATCAAATTGCTTATCGATTGTGCCGACGACTTGATCATTGGCCAACTTGATACTCTCGGTGTCTTCACCTTGTAAACTTGCAACATCGACATTATCGTCACTAGCATCAGCACTGGGTATCACGGCAACAGCGATTTTGGTAGACTCAGCTAGCGCAATCAAATCTTGTTTTTCAGACTCTTCAGCTGCTTTTTCCATACCAAACACATCTCCCTGATTTCGTGCAGACCCACAACTACTTAATGCTTCGTCACAGACATCTGATAAGAGAGTAGTAGGAAAACCGGCATTTAGCCAGTCATCTTCCTCTGCAGTTGCTAGCTTTGTTTCGTGTTCAGTGGTAAAGCTACCAGACTGTTGTTCGAAAGCGTCAATACCATTTGTTAAATCATCTTGACTAATTAGTCTGTGAGACTCATCTTTCGCATCTGTATCCATAGTCGTTTTCCATGCAGCAAGAGCCTCAGCTAAAGGCACTTCATTCGAAGCAGCCAGGCCTGCTTCTGCAAACGGGTCTATTTCTTCCAGGTCGTCAGAGGCAGATGTTGTAAGCCCGAAAAAATTTCTAGTTGATGCAAATGAGCTGTCTAGTGAAGGGGGAGCAGATGAAGGAGAAGCATATGCTGAAACGGTATGTGTTGCAGGTGCAGATGCACTGAACGACGAATACACACCCAGATGTTCAATCGAGCTTTCCCTGGCTCGAACACTGACGAAGGAAGAAGAGCTCAACGAGCGAGAGGATCGAGTGGTGCGCTTGGAAAATGGATCACGCGGTGATGCCGACTTCTCATCGACCCCGCTGCAATTTTTTGACGTCACTACTTCTTCATACGGGAAAACAAACGATCCACGTAATGACGTCGGCGCTGAAATTGATGTCGGCTGCGTCGTTGTCAGAGAAAATATTTTCGTGTCAACTTCTGAAGTAACGAGATTGCTTTCGATGCAGCTGTTGCTCAGCCCAACGAAAGGATCACTTGGAGTTGTCGTATGAACGGGAGAAAATGACAACAAGTCTTTCTCTACAGCGCTGGAGGCACCACATTCTGGCAACGTGACCGAATTAATCGAAAACCCTAATGCGCTCGGTGACGAAGCTCTTCTATTTACATTGACAGCTGCATTTTTCAGTGAATTTGACGACATTGCAAGCTGACTGCTTTCTTTCTCCTGCGTAGTCTTGCCCCACACCAGATCCAAGATCGCCGATGTCGAAGTACGAGCTGAAGGCTTAATATCATTCGTCACACACCTTTCACTCTTTGCTTCAGTTTTTGTATTGCGTACTGCTACTTCTCTTCTATCTGTTACAGCGCCCAAACCTCCTATTATGTCCGCAAAGGGGTCGACTTCGCCGCTTATCGAAGGTAACAAAGCGGGCGGTGCTGTCGAGGACTCGGAGGTAATTAGAGGTGAAAACAACATTAACGAAGACCTGTCGTCATCTGGAGTAGAATTACCGCTTTGTTCTTGACTCACAAAATCTCCAAAGTCCGTTTCAGCTCCGTAAACATCGCCGAAGGGGTCGGAGGGCAGCTCGGCAGCAGCGAAAGACCCAAACTCGTCACCTGCTACGTCATTTGCGACATTCTTGGCCTCTTGAGACGAAGTGAGCCGTATGGAGTCATCATAGCGACCTGCTGACGCGCCCTCAAGGCCCGAGGACGCTGTCATCATGATACCCACGCTGCTGTACTATCGATGTACGCCTACTAAATGGCTCATGAACTAGTGCATAGTGAAGGCAAGTACCACATGTGACCCATGATAAACGATATACGGGAAGTAGGAATAATTCTAGATGATGGGAAAAAAGTTTACCTTATTATTAGTTCTCGTAGCAAGCTAGGAAACAGCTAGTCACTAGCAAGTACAATTTGCTAATGGAAGAGTAATAAGATAAGAAGTCGTTATAGCTGTTATGCAATGGGTGCGCGCTGTACGTACACATTACACTTTTGTGTAATTGTGGACAGCTCTGGGGAACCAAAGATCTGGTGGTAATGAAGGGCACGTCATGTAAACACACAAATGTATGATTGAGCATAGTTAATGTACCGTACCAGATGTTTTGTTTTTCAAAATAAATGCTAATCTTGGATTTAAGAGCAAATTTCTCACTTAGTTTGCCTTAATTTGCATGAATCATTCAAAATGCAGCTGTTGTCCCTTTGATGAAAGCTGTCTGCGATTACAGATACCCTTCACTTTGATGACGCAAAATGCTGCGGCATCTTTATCCTTGACATCAACCATTGCTGAGCACATCGTAACAATATCTCTCCTTTCACACAAAAGTTGCAGCGGGGCTGCCGTAGCTAAGCGCTTGAGGAAGCGTACATTAGATCACCGACCTTTCATTCCTTACAAGAACCAAGTATGAGTTAGCGGATCGCAAACCGCTTACTCCAAGAATAATTATTGCCTTTCCAAACTCTTCGGTTTGAGTTCAAGACTGATTTTTAAAAGTTTAGATTTTCCTAAATATACTAAATAAATATAGTAAAATCTAAATACACGCATAACTAGTGGCTACCTAGCCACATACCGTATTCTTGTTTTGGTGTGGTCACACCATGCACATCTCGTGTGACACACCCCTGTTATCAAGGTTCGTGTGACCCCGTTTCACCCTCTCCCATTAAGATTGAGAGCATTTATAGTTCCAATCGATTATTGCCTCAACGAGGCTCGCGGGTCCGTTAGACACTGCAACTCAATCTGTTGGAATTAAACAGCTTCCTTGCTCAATGAGCCCTGTGTCCACGACACGTAAATCACCAAGTATTGCTGGTTCTGACAGCGAGCACGGGCAGAGCCCAACTTCTTCCCCGCACGCAGTGCGATGTCGGGCAGTGCGTCCGCGGCACCGGGGGATGTATATTCTAGGCTTGATTAGCACAAACGTCGCGCTTCGCGCACGCTTTCAGTGCCGAGTGGCCTCGTTGAGGATGTGGTCGACTATGAGTCTGACACCTTTTTCCTGCATGGGATGAGGAGGAAGGCGGGCTGCATCAGCAGCGTGATACGAGCCCCGTTCGCGCCTTGCAGACCCCATGTCCGCTCCCTGACTTCTCGTCGACTGAGAAACGTGGTGTAA